GGCCGTTGCACAAGCCATATCGGAATTTGTGCTAAAACAATGAGTACAGTGTGACACCACCCGGGTAACTCCCGGGATCAAAATGGCCATTGGAAAGTGATCGCTTTATTGAGATGATTATGGTACTACCACAGGGTATTGTCAACGCTTCAGGAGGAGGAGAGGTCTGGATTTGTAAGTCTCACAGTACCGGTAAGAAGCGCCGGGTGGGGGATGCCCTCCACTGGGGTACAAATTCTGTCATTATTAGTATACGATCATGCAATGTTTCTATCTGCAAGCTGTCATAACTCAAACGATCCCCGTTATTGTTCGATTGAGAAATGGAGTGACCCACACCTCTGATACCATATGTGAGGAACCCAAAAATCTGATGCATGCGTAAAACACCCACAATGGGAATACGTAAATGTAAAAACACCAACAAAATACATTTTAATATAAGAAAAAAATAGGTGGCCCCATAGCGCATCTGTCTGTGTGTGTACATACAGACGGAGGATGCAGGGGCCAACCTGTGTGCGATCGGAACGGTGCAATTGCTGACCAATGTCACTGTGGATGGCACACACGCTGACGCACACCGGAGCTGTGTCTTTGCGGTGCAAGGGCATGGTGGATGGTGGAGCGCATATGGATGGTGCGTTACGAATAAAATAAAACAAAACAAACCGCTGGAAGCAGCCATGCGAGCAGGCTACCTTGAGAGCGATCGCGAATGGGTTGCGTGTCTGGAAGAAGCCTCGCTCTTTCAGATGCCGTACCAGCTTCGTCAACTCTTCGCTACGATTCTGCTGTATTCCATGCCAGCAGATACGAAGGCTCTCTGGGATAAATTCTACGACGAATTGGCTCGCGATTACGAGTACCAGTACCGCCAGCTGACCAACAAAGAAGAAATGGTAAATCTTCTTGGTTCTTTTGGTAAAGTCACGTAGAAGGGAAGTAATAAAATAAAAATAATTAAACATAATAAAATAATTCTCACGACGTTTCAACCACAACGCAAGCAGCCGTCCTCAGGTGAAAACCAGGTCTGTCTAGGCGACAGCGTCTGAATGAAACAGCACACGTGCTTGGAGCATATATATAAGCTGGGTTGGAAGGGGGGGAAAGGGCGCCTTGACAAATAATTTGCATATCATAAGGAATTTAGCATATTTATGGAAAATGCAGGTATGTGATTAGTACTAATTATGCCCGTGCATTATGCAGGATTAGCAGCATCAAAGGGAGGGGATATGGGAAATGCAGGTATGTGATTAGTACTGCTTATGCCCGTGCATTATTCAGGATTAGCAGCATCAAAGAAAATAAAAGAAATGGTAAAGTTCAAGACCCTTCACAGCCTCCACGAGTTCCTCACGGCAGGTGGGATGGCTCTGTCGGACTTTGACGACCTCCCGCAGCTTTCCGAGTACCCACACTTGGTCTTGGACTCGCTGCTTGAGAACAACCATATCCGCCGCGAATTGGACACGAAGGACTTCCCATTTCGACTTCGGCGCAAACAGTTCCCCATTGTCCCAGCCTTCGCGATGACCATCAACAAGGCGCAAGGGCAAACTGTTCACAACCTGGGATTATATCTACCAACGCCATGTTTCTCGCACGGCCAACTGTACGTGGCATTATCGCGAGTCACGGCAAGATCCAACATCAAGGCGCTTATTGAGGGACCTGACGACGAGGAGGAAGACGGAGTGTATCGCCAGATATATTTGAATAAGTTGCATTCTATATTTGAATAAGTTGTATTCTTGAATACTGTCGATTGAGCGTCTCATAAAAATAATATAACCTCACAAAAAGAAACATAAAACAATCACCAAAACATGTATATTGTGTCCAGCCACTTTCAACTCCCCACCAACCAAGTATATACACACCGCCCGCGAAGCGGGCGGCGACTGCTAGTAATGCAAGTGAGCTGTGACGTCAAATCTGTCACGTGACCCGCGCATGTGGTAGCGTAACGCATTGTCGTGTCGTGGTCAGCGCGCTGCGCTACGAACCCGGCGACGATTATTTCAACCGGTCCTGGGCCTCCCCTAGGTCGACTCAGCCTCAAACAAGTAACTGGTGTGTTGTGTGCGAACATCGCCACTGGGGAGACAAAGGCGGCCGGGCGTGGTGAATCCAAGTCCCGGGCGAAGCCGGGTAGTACAGCCAGTTATTCATATTCTTGGTTCTTTCGGTGAAGTCACGTAGTTAGAAAACACAAATCTTAATTATGAGCAAAAAACCCACGACGTTTCGATCGCAACACAAGCGGTCTTCTTCAGGTTATAAGGACTGCAGAGTTAGTGGGCGGCATCTCTTCAGAAATGTGAGTGACTCGTGCTTTGAAAACGTTTCACCAAGTTCCGCTGCATCACACACTGACACACACGTGGAGTCTGCTTTGAAGCCAATGAGAGACGCGGGCCTCCCATTGGTCGAATACCCCGATTATGCATAATGAGCTAGCGGCAATGTCTAAATGTAAAATGCTTCTTCACGTGAATAGCTTTAAGTTTATACGTTTTCATGGCATCGAACACCAACAAAAATGTGAAGATGAATTCGCACAATTGACGGTTACGTTAAAATAAATAATTATAAACAAATACTGTACGTTTGCCTCAGCACCCCATAGGGTAAATTGAGACGGGTTTTCGTATAAGTATTGTGGAGTAGGAGTTTTAAAGTACTCTGGTTTCTCTTCAGAGCGAATAAATCTTTCGCCTTTTACTAAAGATTTCCGTGGAGAGGAACACTCTAATGAGTCTTAAACAATTTTTCGTCGTCCTGCTTCGGCAGGACTCCCTTCGTTAAAAAAGATAGAACCAACATTTTGCTGCCGTATATGCTGTACTTGCAGTGAGTGCTTATGTTGAATGCGACTTTTCGCATTGAACCAAACCATATGGGGGACGGATTTTATTTTCTGCTCTTGATGCGGGTTTTGAACAGTCATAAAGAAGAGTTTTAGCGAAAGTGTACAGCACAGAATTATAGCAATTTAAAATGACAAGATTTGTTCAAATGTATTACCTTGTAAAAAGCTATCGGATATTGGCCAAGTTATTGAGGCACGTCATCTTAGCTAGATTTATATAACGCCTTTTTCAACGCGCTGTACAGCAATTAAACAATGTACGTAAGATGATAATGATTAAATTATATTCTTGGTTCTTTCGGCAAAGTCACGTAGAAGGGAAATAATAAAATAATAAAAATATTAAAAGTTTTAAATAAAAATGTATGGTGATTGTAAATGGCTAATCGGTTGATTGTTAGTGCAGTTGTTTTAATGTCAGTCGAACGGGAAGGATTGTTACGGAGGGGTTGGGATAGTCCTGGTCCAGGCTGGGGGGCGACAGAAAACTTGGGGGGGGGGGGGGGGGGGAGTAATGAGGCATTGTGTTGGGAAGACAAAGGGGGTCAGGAGCAGTGGCGGCTCGTGATATCTCCATTAGGTGGGGCTGTTGTTAAGTGACCTCTGAAAATGTGGTGTTCGAATCGGTTGATCAGGACCCAGTTGCTTTCAAGTTTTCAAGTTTCATTTATTAGGTGTAGCCCTGTGAGCCATGCGGCTCTTGAGTCGGGTGCAACCGCAACAAACAAAATATGAACAGAGAACATCTTAAAGCGACGACGCGCAACAGAAACATCCTGGATAAACCAGCAAATCTTCCAGAAAATAAAACCCCACCGTATTACAACGCAGTGTGAAAAAATCCCAGTGTATTGCAAGTCAAACAATAACAACCATAAAACAATTTATATTAAAGTTATCAGGCCAACTCCGCACTTCCGCAAGAAACATGGCTTAACCATGTGTTATTGAAATCACCAAAATAAAGCTATAAAATACAATGTAACAACAGTACTCATAGGAGCTTTGACTCAAATTGAACAATACACGATATACATACAGTAATATGTACGACCAAACTTTCAGCCATATCTGGCAGCATGACACTCCCAGTGTGTGATGTGTGAGTGAGTCAGTGTATTATGAGTGAGTGTATGATGAGTGAATCCATGTATGATGAGTTAATGGGTCAGTTGTTGTGTGAGTGTATGTGTGACTGAGTTTATAATGTGTGAGTGAGTCAGCGTATGATGAGTGAGTCAGTGTAAGATGAGTGAGTGTATCACGGCATCCTCCACGCCATCGCGGCCTCCTCCACGCCATCACGACCGCACCACGCAGCACGTCCACCCAATCCAATGCTTGACATTCAACTTCTCCAGCATTTTAATATTTAGAAGTGACTTCACAGTGTTCCTTGCTAATTCTTCGTTTGCTTGCACCTGCTGCCATCGTCATCGCTGTTGTTTCCTCCTGTGTAGGCCATGAGCTGCTATATTTGCACAGTGCAAATATAGCAGCCATCGTCTCATATACAGCCACGGGCGCCTTTTTCACCGCCCTGAATGGGTCTCAAACGGCGTGGCTAAAATGCGAAGCTGATCGCCACGATGAAGGGGGAATATCTCTCACTCGGACGCCTTCACAGCTGCCCCGAGACCTCCCCGAGTCACAAATCAGACCACGGCGTTGCAAGCAGCGGTTTCTAATACGGACAACTTAAAATGTTATCTTCGTTAGGCAATTCGCGTTGAAAGAATCGTGACATTTTATTATAAAAAAAATAATTTCTCATCTCCAGTTGCTTGGTTGGGTCGGTGCCCCAAACGCCCCCTAGTGGACGAACCGCGCCTGGCCAGGAGTCGGGAGCCAAGAGGTTGGAAGAGGTCCAACCGCTCCCCATTGGTCAAATACTATAATTTATGCACAGCGTGAGTATGTATGCTATTTATTTTACTTCAATAACCCTCGCGTAGACAGATGAATAAGACTGAAACAATCACTAATTTAAAGTAGTATTATACGAATATTTAATATTAGAAAGTAAAATTACATGAAAAATGTGGTCACGAAGTAAAGGCCCCATAGGATAAATGTAAAGACTGTTCATATAAGTACCTACGAGTGGTGGCCTTAAACTTTACTCTGGTTTCTCTTCAGAGCGAATAAATCTTTCGCCTTTTACTAAAGATTTCCGTGGAGAGGAACACTCTAATGAGTCTTAAACAATTTTTCGTCGCCCTGCTTATGTAGGGCAACATCATTAACAAAGAAAAGTCGAAATCGTTATTGTGCGTATCTGTGGTGTGCGGCAGCGATTGTCGCCTGGCAATTGTGTGCAGTTGTTAATCGCCACCCAGTTGCTATATCAAAATGGTATTTATCTTCTTGGTTCTTTCGATAAAGTCACGTAGAAGGGAAATAATAAACATTAAACAAAATAAAATACAATTCTCACGACGTTTCGGCCACAACGCAAGCAAGCCGTCCTCAAGTGAAGAACAGATCTGTCGGAAAAACAGCGTCTGACGCTGTCTTTCCGACAGACCAAGAAGATTAATCCCTGCAGTCACGAAAGCTGTAAATCGAAAAAAAGTGGTATTTTTTACATTTGAGGATGTATTGTTTACGTGCACTCCATGCAATAAAGGGAAAATGATTTGTTTATTTCAGAAATATGCGCCTGTTATGATCATCACTATCAATTGTTTGTAGAGCCTTCTCCAAGTAATTGCAAACTAGCATAATTAGGCGACAGCCGGATTAGCTACGGGCTAAGTACTGTTTGGAAGCGAATTATCAAGTCATACACCGTTTAACTGCATGCCTATAGTATACATGTCACCATATGGCAGGATTGTACGTGTGTGTAGTGCATGCACAATGTACATGCATAATGTATGTTGATTGCACCATGAATAACCCAACCGGCAATGGATACCCATTGTACTGTATATGCATCATTAACCATTCTCCCCTCCGGCCTTCGCACCTGGTTCGCTCACAAGTGACGACATCACATTTATTTCTCTAAATTAGGACCGAAACAGGAGGATTTCTCCACAAATCTGGCTGTCGCCTGATTGTTTTGCTGCACGGAAATCTTTGGTGAGGGTATTTAAACGCTTTCGTTAGGAAGATTAAAATGCAACAGTTGCCAAACACAGAGGATATAAAACACGCACACACAGAATCCATAACACTGAAGGAAAACGGGGGAATCGCATCATAAGATACGAACATGAAATCGTCCGTCCAAAAAAATTGGTTTGCTTGCGATTTAAGCGATAACACAATATCACACCAAACACAACGATACAACGCAGATGATCTGAGTGGTAATCACAAATAGGGGAAATGCATGGACATGAGCGAACTTAGGGTGGGGGTAATAAGGCTGCGGCCTAAATCGATGTCAATCAGGCACACATGTCAACCCCTTATGAGTGCCAACCTTATTACAAACCAATTTAGACCTTATTGGTCACCCCGTGCCCTTATAAATCTCAACGTTCATCTTACAAAGTCCCATCACAAGGGAGAAACACAAACAAATTGACGTTTTTGTTGCCCATATTGAAACGGCTGTATGCCGTATGGACTTTAAAACTAAATTTCTCTGTACAAGAATACGGGGTAAACTGTATGGGTTGACAGCTATGATCAAAGATTAAACTTATCCGAGGGCTGAGCTCCGGAAAATGTTAATCTATTTAAATGGTCGATTACATACCATCACGTGTTTGAAATACACGTTAATGCAAGATTGTGATAATATATTTTGGGGGGGACACATCCCCTCCAATATTAAAATATGCTCAAAATGTCCCCCCAAATATATTGCAATAAAATAGATTTCTGTTTATATGATTGTGGTTATGGTTGTACTTTATTAATCCCTAATCTCTGCCATTACATACAATGAAACAAGAAATGATAAAAAAGAAAAAAACAGTGCAATGTAATACAATACACTATTAGACATTATTGTAATAAATAAATAAAAAGTCCATCCTATGTGTTAGCGAATTTTTAAAATATTTTAGGCAGGAAGATTTGGTCCCCCCCAATGTTGACTCCATGGATACGGCCTTGCGTTAATGTAAATGGACACTCAATGTAAAAACAAAGAAAACTTCATTTAATCATCTCCCTCGATTGTCTTTCCGGGTAAAATATTTTTTTTCAATTTGGCTGTCACTTGACGATGCTAGTGGCAATTACTAGCGAAACGTCGTACTCGAATTGTAAATGATGTGGGTTTTAACTCTCCAACACACCGGTTGTGCAGTGCTAGTAACAAATGGGCACGTTCTGGCCACGTGACAAACCTTACTGGCCGGCTGTGTCGGGTGGTGACGGATTTAACGACACATTTATAAATTTTCATTTAAAGCTTTCGTGACTGCAGGGATTCATATTCTTGGTTCTTTCGGTAAAGTCACGTAGAAGGGAAAAATAAAATAATAAATATAAAACAATAAAAATTCTCACGACGTTTCGACTGCAACACAAGCAATCATCATCAGGTGTGAAATCCACAGCAAGAAAATTTGAAGATAAAAAACGCCACTTTTTAAAACATTTCTTGCTGTGGATTTCACACCTGATGATGATTGCTTGTGTTGCAGTCGAAACATCGTGATAATTTTATAGTTTTATATTTTTATCATTTTATTATTTCCCTTCTACGTGACTTTACCGAAAGAACCAAAGAGTATGGATCCCTGCAGTCACGAAAACTTCAAATCTAGATGATAATGGATAAGTCTAAATTTGTTGTTCGCGTACGTCCCTATAAAGGCCCGCAAATCAATTAGTCTGGTCCAGCCATCGCATTAGGGGTGAGTTAATTAAATGTTTGACCAAATATAACGGTTCTACACCCCTGGCTGCAGAGGTGTGGACTCGAGTCATGTGACTTGGACTCGAGTCAGACTCGAGTCATGAATTTGATGACTTCAGACTCGACTTGGACTTGCATAACAATGACTTTGTCCCACCTCTGAGGTGTGGACTCGAGTCATGTGACTTGGACTCGAGTCAGACTCGAGTCATGAATTTGATGACTTCAGACTCGACTTGGACTTGCATAACAATGACTTTGTCCCACCTCTGAGGTGTGGACTCGAGTCATGTGACTTGGACTCGAGTCAGACTCGAGTCATGAATTTGATGACTTCAGACTCGACTTGGACTTGCATAACAATGACTTTGTCCCACCTCTGCCTGGCTGTAATAAGTATAACCCGTAAAAACAAAGTTTTTCACTATAAATCTTTATATGCGTGGCAGCGAACTTAATATAAAGGATTTAAAAATATATTCGCCTGTGGAGGACGCAGGGATCGATCCCGTGACCTTTGGCATGGGAAGCGAGGGCGCTACCAACTGCGCTACTCCGCCACAGCCTGTGGAGGGGTTACGCTCTGGGCTCTTACACTCTGACGTTCAGCCAAAGCCATGAATGCGTTCTATTTGAATATATGTAAAATATTTGTTTTTGCCTAAAAAGTGTAAAATTTTGGAAATTTTTTTTCACGAACAATAATTGTCTGGCACAACGAGTCTGTGTGGAAAATGTCAGCTCGATTGGATCACGGGAAGTGGGTTAAAAAACGACCGAAAGATTTGCACGGTCCTAAGCAAGCAAGCAAGCACGCAAGCACGCGAACTTAATATAAAGGATTTAAAAATCAAAAGTAATCGATCCGCGGGCACTGCGACCGCGAATCGCGAGCTCGCTGGGAATCGATACTCGAGCTGCGAGGCGCTGGGCGCGCGATGACGACCCCAGACGGAGACGACGTCACTGCCGGGCGACGCTGAGGCGCCTCTCTCGGTCTGCGTCTCGCTGTGTGTCTCTCTGTGTCTGTGTCTCTCTGTGTGTGTCTGTGTCTCTGTGTGTGTGTATCTGTGTCTGTGTCTCTCTGTGTGTGTGTCTGTGTCTCTCTGTCTCGCTGTATCTCTCTGTCTCTGTGTGTGTCTCTCTGTGTGTGTCTCTGTCTCGCTGTATCTCTCTGTCTCTGTGTGTGTCTCTGTCTCTCTGTGTGTGTCTCTGTGTGTCTCTCTGTCTCTGTGTGTCTCTCTGTCTCTGTGTGTGTCTTTCTGTCTTTCTGTGAGTCTCTGTGTCTCTCTGTGTGTCTCTCTCTGTGTGTCTCTCTGTCTCTGTGTGTCTCTCTGTCTCTGTGTGTGTCTTTCTGTCTTTCTGTGAGTCTCTGTGTCTCTCTGTGTGTCTCTCTCTGTGTGTCTCTCTGTCTCTGTGTGTCTCTCTGTGTGTGCGGTGCCGTGCGCGCGGCGTTAGATTCACAGCGGGTTAGTGCGGTGGTGTTAGTGTGGTGGTGGTGTAGTGGTGGTGTTAGAGTGGTGGTGGTGTTAGTGTGGTGTTGGTGTTAGAGTGGTGTTGGTGTTAGCGTGGTGGTGGTGTTAGTGGTGGTGGTGGTGTTAGGGTGGTGTTAGCGTGGTGTTAGTGTGGTGTTAGCGTGGTGGTGGTGTGATGGTGGTGTTAGGGTGGTGGTGTTAGCGTGGTGTTGGTGTTAGTGGTGGCGGTGTTAGGGTGGTGTTCGAGTGGTGGTGGTGTTAGCGTGGTGGTGGTGGTGTTAGAGTGGTGTTAGAGTGGTGGTGTTGTGGTGGTGGTGTTAGCGTGGTGGTGGTGTTAGAGTGGTGGTGGTGTTAGAGTGGTGGTGTTGTGGTGGTGGTGTTAGCGTGGTGGTGGTGTTAGATCGGTAGCTTGATTAAAGTGGCCGTGATGTTAGAATCCGAGCGGTAGTGCAGTGGTGTTAGTGTAGTAGCGATAGTGCAGTGGCAGTGGTGGCGGTACAACAGTGATCTGTACAGCAGTGGTGGTGTGTACAGTAGTGGTGGTGTGTACAGCAGTGGTGGTGTGTACAGCAGTGGTGGTGTGTACAGCAGTGGTGGTGTGTACAGAAGTGGTGGTGTGTACAGCAGTGGTGGTGTGTACAGCAGTGGTGGTGTTACAGCAGTGGTTGTGTACAGCAGTGGTGGTGTGTACAGCAGTGGTGGTGTGTACAGCAGTGGTGGTGTGTACAGCAGTGGTGGTGTGTACAGCAGTGGTGGTGTTACAGCAGTGGTTGTGTGTACAGCAGTGGTGGTGTTACAGCAGTGGTTGTGTACAGCAGTGGTGGTGTTACAGCAGTGGTGGTGTGTACAGTAGTGGTGGTGTTACAGCAGTGGTGGTGTTACAGCAGTGGTTGTGTACAGCAGTGGTGGTGTGTACAGCAGTGGTGGTGTGTACAGCAGTGGTGGTGTGTACAGCAGTGGTGGTGTGTACAGCAGTGGTGGTGTGTACAGCAGTGGTGGTGTGTACAGCAGTGGTGGTGTGTACAGCAGTGGTGGTGTGTACAGCAGTGGTGGTGTGTACAGCAGTGGTGGTGTTACAGCAGTGGTTGTGTGTACAGCAGTGGTGGTGTGTACAGCAGTGGTGGTGTTACAGCAGTGGTTGTGTGTACAGCAGTGGTGGTGTTACAGCAGTGGTTGTGTACAGTAGTGGTGGTGTGTACAGCAGTGGTGGTGTTACAGCAGTGGTTGTGTACAGCAGTGGTGGTGTTACAGCAGTGGTGGTGTGTACAGTAGTGGTGGTGTTACAGCAGTGGTGGTGTTACAGCAGTGGTTGTGTACAGCAGTGGTGGTGTGTACAGCAGTGGTGGTGTGTACAGCAGTGGTGGTGTGTACAGCAGTGGTGGTGTGTACAGCAGTGGTGGTGTGTACAGCAGTGGTGGTGTTACAGCAGTGGTGGTGTGTACAGCAGTGGTGGTGTGTACAGCAGTGGTGGTGTTACAGCAGTGGTGGTGTGTACAGCAGTGGTGGTGTGTACAGCAGTGGTGGTGTTACAGCAGTGGTTGTGTACAGTAGTGGTGGTGTGTACAGCAGTGGTGGTGTTACAGCAGTGGTGGTGTTACAGCAGTGGTGGTGTTACAGCAGTGGTGTTACAGCAGTGGTGGTGTTACAGCAGTGGTGGTGTTACAGCAGTGGTGGTGTTACAGCAGTGGTGTGTACAGCAGTGGTGGTGTTACAGCAGTGGTGGTGTTACAGCAGTGGTGGTGTTACAGCAGTGGTGGTGTTACAGCAGTGGTGTGTACAGCAGTGGTGGTGTTACAGCAGTGGTGGTGTTACAGCAGTGGTGGTGTTACAGCAGTGGTGGTGTTACAGCAGTGGTGTGTACAGCAGTGGTGGTGTTACAGCAGTGGTGGTGTTACAGCAGTGGTGGTGTTACAGCAGTGGTGGTGTTACAGCAGTGGTGGTGTTACAGCAGTGGTGGTGTTACAACAGTGGTGTGTACAGCAGTGGTGGTGTTACAGCAGTGGTGGTGTTACAGCAGTGGTGGTGTTACAGCAGTGGTGGTGTTACAGCAGTGGTGGTGGTACAACAGTGGTGTGTACAGCAGTGGTGGTGTTACAACAGTGGTGTGTACAGCAGTGGTGGTGTTACAACAGTGGTGTGTACAGCAGTGGTGGTGTTACAGCAGTGGTGGTGTTACAGCAGTGGTGGTGTTACAGCAGTGGTGGTGTTACAGCAGTGGTGTGTACAGCAGTGGTGGTGTTACAGCAGTGGTGTTACAGCAGTGGTGGTGTTACAGCAGTGGTGGTGTTACAGCAGTGGTGGTGTTACAACAGTGGTGTGTACAGCAGTGGTGGTGTTACAGCAGTGGTGTGTACAGCAGTGGTGGTGTTACAGCAGTGGTGGTGTTACAGCAGTGGTGGTGGTACAACAGTGGTGTGTACAGCAGTGGTGGTGTTACAGCAGTGGTGTGTACAGCAGTGGTGGTGTTACAACAGTGGTGTGTACAGCAGTGGTGGTGTTACAGCAGTGGTGTGTACAGCAGTGGTGGTGATACAGCAGTGGTGGTGTTACAGCAGTGGTGGTGGTACAACAGTGGTGTGTACAGCAGTGGTGGTGTTACAACAGTGGTGTGTACAGCAGTGGTGTGTACAGTAGTGGTGGTGTTACAGCAGTGGTGGTGTTACAACAGTGGTGTGTACAGCAGTGGTGGTGTTACAACAGTGGTGTGTACAGCAGTGGTGGTGTTACAACAGTGCTGTGTACAGCAGTGGTGTGTACAGTAGTGGTGGTGTTACAGCAGTGGTGGTGTTACAACAGTGGTGTGTACAGCAGTGGTGGTGTTACAACAGTGGTGTGTACAGCAGTGGTGGTGTTACAACAGTGCTGTGTACAGCAGTGGTGTGTACAGTAGTGGTGGTGTTACAGCAGTGGTGGTGTTACAACAGTGGTGTGTACAGCAGTGGTGGTGTTACAGCAGTGGTGGTGTGTACAGCAGTGGTGGTGTTACAACAGTGGTGGTGGTACAACAGTGGTGTGTACAGCAGTGGTGGTGTGTACAGCAGTGGTGGTGTTACAACAGTGGTGTGTACAGCAGTGGTGGTGTTACAACAGTGCTGTGTACAGCAGTGGTGTGTACAGCAGTGGTGTGTACAGCAGTGGTGGTGTTACAACAGTGGTGGTGTTACAACGGCCAACAACACCACCATCAGTGACGATTATCCGAACAAGTCCTGTGCCTTCCCTAGGTCGACTCAGCCTCAAACGAGTACCTGGTGGCGGCTTGTAGTACACATCGCCACTGGGGATACAAAGGCGGCCGGGCGTGGTGTTGGCCACCCACCCCCTCGTGTGCCACGGTGCCGGCCTTTATCGGTGTTGTCCCGGTTGTCTTGGGGGGGGGGGTCTTCGGTGTCGTGGTGGTGAAGTTCTCGTCGTGCTTTTCGTTCTGTTAACGTGGTGGACGTGTTTTGCCTTCAGGGCCGGCGGAGCAGTCGTCATCATGATCTTCCCCAGCTCCCTCACGGAGGAAGAGGAGAGTCTGCAGAAGAAATTCGCCAAGCTCAAGAAGAAGGTGACATTTGGTAGAGACGTGCGGGAGAGATGAGAACGCAGACACGGTGGAGTCCGATGAAATAGGAAGTTCTTTTTTATTTACACGCTTTTATTTAACTCCCTCTGTCTGTTGTTGTATCCTCAAGTCTTGTAACTCAGTTGTAACCCACATCCAAATGTGGTATCGACTGCAAACTTGGTATACTTATGTCATACTGATGACAATACTATATTATATCATTAAAAAATAATGTGTATTTTTAAACAATCTTTTTTACACGCTTTCTATTAACTCACTCTGTTATTGTTGTATCCTCAAATCTTGTAACTCAATTTTAACCCACTTCCCAATGTGGTATCGAAAGCAAACTTTGAATACTTATGTCACACTGATGACAATACTATATTCTATCATAAAAAAATAATGTATATTTTTCAACAATCTTTTTTACACGCTTTCTATTAACTCACTCTGTTATTGTTGTATCCTCAAATCTTGTAACTCAATTTTAACCCACTTCCCAATATGGTATCGACTGCAAACTTAGTATACTTATGCCATTCTGATGACAATACTATATTCTATCATAATTTTTTTATTTAAACATTCATTTCTATATGTTATGTTTCGGCTTGGGTCTAATTGTCCACGCTCAACTGACGTTGGCTGTAATTGGCCACGGTCCCTTACGTTATGGCAAGCTTCGGGGCCACTTCCAGGAAATGTGGAGTTCTGCCATTACTCGTACGGTACATTTCATTAAAGCATGTTTAAAAAAAAATTATTTTTAAATATTACTTATTTGACAGATGTCCAGTTTGGGCGGGTGAGCAAGTTACAACAGAAAACAATACACAGAACGATAGGTTCTCCTGGTGTAACAGGAGGGACATGGGTTCCATCCCGACCCTGACCCCTGCTGTATATTTGGAGTTTGCATGACTCTCCCTGTGGTCGCGTGGTTTTCTTCTCCGGGTCCTCCAAGATTCTTTACTCCACGTTTAGAAACGTGCGTCTGGAGCATTTGGTTGCCTTACATTTCCACACGATAAGCCACTTCGTTGAGCTATTGTGGGCCTTATCTGGTAAAATAAGAGTATTCTTGGTTCTTTCGGTAAATTCACGTAGAAGGGAAATCTATTATTGGTTCTTTCGCTAAAGTCACGTAGAAGAGAAATCTAATATTGTTTTTTTCGCTAAAGTCACGTAGAAGGGAAATAATATTTGAATCCCTGCAGTCACGAAAGCTTTACATCGAAAAATAAGAGTAGTTAATAGACTGAGACATTTGAGAGGCAGAAGAGAGAAAACGTGATTGAGACAGATTTTGGGAAAAAGACATGGAGACGTGGACACTTGGAGACAGATGGACACGAGCACAGATATGGAAGGACAGAAGAGACCAACTTGTGGACAAAGAGATTGAGAGAGGCATGGAGATATTGATATTGAAACACCAATAATAGCCCCGGGGATCAGTTATAATAACAACCAGCAAGATCGTTTGCTGAGATCACAATCACGTTGCATTCGTTCCATCAATAACAATTATTGACACCCACATCTGAAAGAGAGACAGTGAATGACATAGACAAGCAGAGGCACAAGGAGTCAAGCAGACAGACACGCGGATAAATGCAGTGACATAAATGCAGATACGGAGACACGCATTGAGGCACGGAGAGATGGAGATACAGAGACATTGGAGAGACGATTACTGGTAGGAACCTGGTTACACCAGCCCACAGGGGATTATTGTGTCCGTTGTGCAGGGAGGGGCTGGGTGGATAGGAAGGGGTGGGGTGTGGAGGGGCTGGGTGGGGAGGGTGGGGCTGGGTGGGGGGTGGGAAGGGTGGGGCCGGGTGGGGAGGGGCTGGTCACCCCGTGGTGTCCTTATAAAACTCAACGTTTAACCTACTCACGCCGGCTTGTGCCCGCCCTCACAGTCGGGAATAATTGCGGAATACACCACGCCGCCGTTGACCCTCGCCATTAACCGAGCAACCCAACGTTCCTACCAGCTCCCTCCGCAGGAATGTGTTTAGTCAGAAAGAAATGTAGATAGACATTGAGAGAAACGTAGAGAGAAAGACACGGATACATAGATGCAATAAATTGAGATATAAAGCTCGGAATTTGCACAGGAAGACCTGAAGGAAGAAAGCGTTGGAGAGACAGATGGAGAGTGACATGCATAGGGAGACATTGAGGGCAGTGACGCAGATAACCAGCAGAGGCAGACATAGAGACATGGTGAGGGATTGATGCAGAGAAAACAAGTATAACCCGTAAAAACAAAGTTTTTCACTCTAAATCCTTTATATGCGTGGCGGCTAGAGTCCTCTCGTCCTCTGGCTTGAGATGGCTGCCACCTATGGGTCAGATGATTGTCTGCCAGTATTAAGCAATTGGTAATTAAATATTTAATTTGTTTTCCCTAAACAGTGTAACATTTTGGAAAAAAATTTACACGAACATTAATTGTCTCGCACAACGAGTCTGTGTGCAAAATGTCAGCTCGATTGGATCACGGGAAGTGGGTTATAAAACGACCGAAAGGTTTGCACGATCGTAAGCAAGCAAGCACGCAAGCAAGTGAACTTAATATAAAGGATTTAAAAATGCAGGCACACGGTTGACAATGCTATCATTAGATTTGGTTTGCTGATGAGAAACGCGCACCTGATGACCAGAGTTTGAGTCACGTGTGTGGGGGGAAATTCACGCTGCATGCACCTTGTGTGAATTTCAGAAAAAAGCAGTCATGGCCTTAAAGAAACAAAGCACGGCAAATCCGTCCACACAGAGTGGCTTAAAGCGATGTGAGTAATGCAGTACATTCATCGTCATCATCCACACCGCCACCATGACAACCACTTCTATAACCATCACAACCACTACCTTACCATTACCATCACTATCACCTCTGTCATCACAATCAACAAAACAATTGCCATAATCACGACGGTCATCACAACTATCACCAACACTATCACCAACATCACTAAACCCACTTACCATCATCACAACCACCACAATCATCATACTCAACTTTTGCCATCACGAACAAGCCCATTTTTATAATACCAGAAATTGCCATAATCACCACCACCAATCAATCACCAGTTGTGTTTGTGGTATTGGTGGTGGTGTAAATTTGATATTATTGTTAACGGTTATGTTGGGTTTCGTTATTAGTGTTCATGGTTCATTTTTGTGGTGATGCAGGTTCTGATATTGATGTTGGTTATGACATTGGTGCTGTTGGTGTTCAACTGGAAATGGTTGTGGTCTTGATGGTTCTGCTGATGTTGGCCTGAGTGATCAAGGTGGTGGTGATGATCGTTATAGTGATATTTGTGATAAAGGTGGTGGTTCTAATGATGTCAGTATCCGTGATGGTGAATATGGTGCTTGAAGTATTGATTGTTCTTGTAGTGGTGTTGAGGGTTATGATGGTGTTGCTAATAGTTTTGATGGTTGTGGTGTCAACGAATCTGATGGTCATGGTGTTGATGGTTATGATGGTGGTTTTAGGGGTGTTGATGGTTATGAGGGTGGTGGCAGTGTTGATGTTCATGGTGGTGGGAATGATGGTTTTTGGTAGTGGTGATTGATGGTGGTGTTGATAGTTGTGGTTGTAATGATAGTGATGATTGTTCGGGTGACGGCGTTGATGGTTTTGGTTGGTGGTGTTGATAGTTGTGGTTGTAATGATAGTGATGATTGCTCGGGTGGCGGCGTTGATGATTTTGGTGGTGGTGTTGATAGTTGTGGTTGTAATGATAGTGATGATTGTTCGGGTGGCGGTGTTGATGGTTCTGGTGGTGGTGTTGATAGTTGTGGTTGTAATGATGGTGATGATTGTTCGGGTGACGGCGTTGATGGTTCTGGTGGTGGTGTTGATAGTTGTGGTTGTAATGATAGTGATGATTGCTCGGGTGGTGGCGTTGATGATTCTGGTGGTGGTGTTGATAGTTGTGGTTGTAATGATAGTGATGATTGCTCGGGTGATGGCGTTGATGGTTCTGGTTGGTGGTGATGGTGGTTTTTGCGCCAGCCGTGTCGGAGCAGCCGACCGTGGATGGAGCCGCAGCCACGGAGCAGGCGAAGAAGCTGATGAAGAGCGGCGCCATCAGCGCCATCCGGCCCGAGACCAAGAGCTCCGGCTTCAAGCGCTCGCGCACGCTGGAGGGAAAGCTCAAGGTGCTCACAGACCCTCACAAAAAACATCGGTGGCTGCCATTCATCACATGCAAGGACAAAGAGCCCCCATATAGCCTTAATGGACTGTTGGGGCAATTGATGTGAGCGAGCTCCTATGAAGGCCGGCACAGCACACAATGGGGTGGGTGGCCAGCACCACGCCCGGCCGCCTTTGTCTCCCTAGTGGCGATGTTTGCACACCACACCAGGTACTCATTTGAGGCTGAGTCGATCTAGCGGAGGCACAGGACCGGTTCAGATAATCGTCACTGGTGTTGGCTGTGAGCGGGAATTGAACTCGGATCGCCGGGTTCATAACACAGCACACTAACTGCTATACCGCCGCCATTCATCACAAAGACACACACATGTATGTGTGCAGCCCTTTCTCACTCCACTGCTGGATGATGGCCTCCTCACACCATGCGAGTGGTGGGTGTTATTGATCATACTTCATGGCATGTTGGTGTAGGGGAGGCTTAGACGTGGGAGCACAGAAGTACGGTACAACAATGCAATTTTCTGCACTGCCCTCTGCTGCACCCGATGAGCATAAAGAGGGGAGATGTCTTTTGTTCTTGTAGCTGGAGATTGCACAGTGCAGCGTGGTGTTTTGAAACTGGAAGTATTTCCAAAAGTTGACATTCATGTCAACAGATCTCCCTGTTAAGGTACCACGTAGTGAAATGCTGTCTCCCCAACTATAAGCCAGTGATTAATATTAAACGCTGGTGATCGCCATTGGGGTCCACACACAATGTTAGTTCTTTCACCAAGTCAGTCAACCTCTCGAGCCCATGCCATCGCAATTTGCTCCTCTGTGCAGTCAAACGGGGTTATATGGGCTACTGTGCAGACCTTTGTGTTGAGACTACAGGAGCCAGATAATTCAGCAATGCAGGTCAGCAGGGCCGACCCAGTCGACTTTATGCAATTCTAGATTTGAAGTTTTCGTGACTGCAAGGATCCCATACTCTTTGTTTTTTTCGGTAAAGTTACGTGGGTCAAAACAAAATATAATAAAACAACTAAATTAAATCACGTTTCGGAAGCAACACAAGCATCCGTCATCAGGTGTAACCGCTCCAGCAAAATTACTGTAGCGTATGAAGAGAGCTATTTAGAGACACGTGTTTATATAGGGCACTAGGGGGGGGAGGAGCCAAGGGGTCGGGGGAGGGGCATATGCGGCAGGCCGTGTGGGCGGTTGGGCAGGGGATTAGCATGAGTTAAGCCGAGATATAACCATCTTTTTAAAATCCTTTATATTAAGTTCGCTTGCTTGCTTAGGACCGTGCAAATCTTTCGGTCGTTTTTTAACCCACTTCCCGTGATCCAATCGAGCTGACATTTTGCACACAGACTCGTTGTGCGTGACAATGCATTTTCGTGAAAAAAAATTCAAAAATTTTACACTGTTTAGGGAATAAAAAAAAAATATATTTAATTACCAATTGTTTAATGCTGCCAGACAATCATCTGACCCATATGTGGTAGCCATCTCAAGCCAGAGGACGAGAGGACTCTAGCCGCCCCGATGCCACGCATATAAAGGATTTATAGTGACAAACTTTGTTTTTATGGGTTTACTTGTTCTTTGTGATGCTAGGGGAGTGATTTAATTTAGTTGTTTTATTTTTATTTTATTTTGTTTTCACCTACGTGACTTTACCGAAAAAACCAAAGAGTATACTTTATGCAATGTATATCTGTTAGTTTCATAGAGCCTATGTCTTGATCACCTGGAATGTACCTGAACTCATTGGATCTCGGAAGCTCAGCGAGTGTTGTAGGCTTTTGCGGGGCTACGCTGTGGCGAGCATAGGGCAGTGCAGCAAAAATGCATTATTGTGCTGTACTGATCTCCAAAGATCGCATTGCATTTACATGAATCACGTTGGTACCGTCTGCGTTGTGCCGATGTGCTTTCTGCTGTTTGCATTCAGGACCCAGAGAAGGAGAAGCCGCCCTCATTTCAGCCGTTCCAGAGAAGCGTTTCTGCCGAGGATGAGGCTGCGGAGGTTGTGGTTACTCCCCCATATGTGCACTTAAACACAAAGCACACAAACTACGCGCACAATCGCACACAACCGAAATGCCACTGTTTTATACCTGTTAGTCCACAGAGGTGTTTGCGGCCAGTGTTAATTTTGCCAAAACTTCCACACCAGTCCACCAAGGTGAGGGGCAGGTCAGGTTCAATTCTGATTTGCTACTGGCTTCATTGAGTAGTCAGTAAGGTTGTGATGATATAATTTTTCACAAAATGATACGATATTCATTATCAGGATATGACGATTATCGTGAGATCAGTTTCTCAAATCCTTGTAATCGTATTTCATATTTTGGTGTATCATTTTATGTGTTTCCAGTGTGAATATAGATTACAATAAAAATAGTTATTAAACGAGCATGAGTCTCGTAACCATTCCAGCTTGACAAGTCATGATGCTTATTGTGCAGATTTCTGTACGTTACACGATAAAATAATAAATCAACTACGAACGTTGATGATGTAATGTAATTGCCTCGCTGTCACTCCAGAACTGAATGGGTAATAGCTATTTTAGAGGGCTATCAGTGTAGAGGGCCCATGTGCATGTTTATTGTCGCCGATTTTTGCTGTCTCCGTCTTCCAGGCTAACGTGCGCCGTCCACAAGTGAAGAATCTCTACGAGAGGTACGGGAGCAGAATCCTAACGGTGGCATTGCTGGTTTGATGGTGGTGATGTTGATCGGAAGATAGTGTGTTATGGTGGTGGTGGTGGTTTTTGAAGTTGTGGTAAAATTATTTTGGTCGTGGTCACTTGCTAATGTTGATGTAATAATGGTGGTTATGGTGTTTTTGCTATTTTGTTGATGTAGTGGTGGAGATGTTCATGTGTTTTGAGTGAACATTGATGTGATGGTAGTAATGTGATGGTGGTGATTGTATGTTGAGCTTCTTTGGCACTGTACGTAGGCAACCGTGATAATCAGAAGTCCGGGGGAAGGACAACAAAACTAAACACAAAAAGCAGTACGTGTTGATGTGAATATTGGCATTTGCCGGTGTCGGTGATTTCCGATGTTACTCTGTTTTGCTGATGCAGCTTTGTGAGTGGCCGTGATAATGAGAACTCAGCGATGGAAGATGCAGAGCGCGTCGATGACAGAGGGTGGGACCGAGAGAGACGTGAGAATCTCCACCAACGGCACTTGGAATAAAAATGATTGATCGATTAAAAAAAAAATATATGAAGCACACGATACATGAATCAAATAACGCGAGTACGAATCAGTTATTCTCTCTTCGTACTTATTGTATTAGCTGCATGTGAACGCTGCAGCCATTGTAAATTATACATGCACCGCAATAGCAAACGAAAACTTGATTATTTAATCAAATCATGGCCTAAAATTATGCCGATTTATTGAATTGAAAGGAGGGTGAATTCTCTTTAACTTTTACATGTACAATGTAAAAGGATGTTTGCTAAGTAAATGCACATTTTACATTTAAGCTAATCCAGCTAATGGGACTACAAGCAAGACGGACAAGTGCAGGCATAATGCTTGGGGTGGGAGAGGGTGAATATCTATCTGGGAGTCAGAAGCAATATCCACAACATCATTACTATCGACACCACCAGCATCGTTATCAACACCACCAGAAACCTCATCAACACCAGTCCTGGGCCTGCGCTAGGTCGACTCAGCCTCCAATGAGTACATTGGTGCCACGTGTAAACACACCGGTGGCCTGAAGTAAACTAATTGGCGCGCTGTTTACGTGACAAACCTTGCTGGCTGTGTCGGGTGGTGGAGAGTTACAACACATCTATATTTCGATTTAAAGCATTCGTGACTGCAGGGATTCTTATTCTTGGTTCTTTCGGTAAAGTCACGTAGAAGGGAAATAATAAAATAATAAAAATAAAATATAAAATACGCTGCCAAGCTTAGCAGTGTTAATTAGGACGCTGTTTTATAATAAGAATTGTATCTTATTAGAAAACATAATAAGATACAATTCTCACGACGTTTCTTCACCTGAGGACGGCTGCTTGCGTTGTGGCCGAAACGTCGTGATAATTGTATTGAATTTTTATTATTTTATTATTTCCCTTCTACGTGACTTTTCCGAAAAAACCAAGAATATGAACACATCTATACTAACGCGATCTAACCTAAAAACCTTTATTATGAATAATATTTGTCGCGCAATCCTACGTGTTAAACTGTGTAAACATCATCAGGCGGCTGGGCATGGTGCTGGCCACCCCACCGCCTCGTGTGTCGTTCGGCCTTCATCGGTGCTTGCTTAACAGCACTTGCCCCAACAGTCTGTTAAAGGCTACACGGGGGATCTTTGTTTTGTTCCCGTGCACGTGTGCCTTGCGAAGATTCGTCGGAGCGGCGTGAGCCTCGCCGGGGGAACACGATCTACGTGAACGGCTCTGGGATCACGGACGAGATCCTGCAGACGGCCTTCAGCTCCATCGGCCCGGTCCTCAACGTCACCATGGAGCGCGCTCGCAGGCACGAGCACCAATCACATCGTCTACCGCAACATGTGCCTGTTACGCTACCAACACACCAACACTACAGCAACACGACACCTTTGCACCACATGTACGTATGTGCGTTGAACTACTTTCGCATCGTATGTAGGCAACCGTGCTAATTAGAGGCGCGGGGGAAAGACAACAATCTAGACGCAAAAAGCAGTTAAAAAGAAATGAGTTTTAAATTTAGAGATGAGTTTTCAAACACATCACCGTTGCAATGTGATGATACCCTCAACACATCGGGACCACATCACTGTAACACAACAGCATTATGTTAACAGAGCAATACTGCGATGACATGACACCATTATGCCACCGACATACCAACAACAACACAGCACTAATACACACATCACAATGACGTGACACCGTCACACCACTAATGCGACCAACATACAACGTGACTTAAAACTTTCGTGACTGCAGGAATTCATATTCTTGGTTCTTTCGGTAAAGGCACGTAGATAGAAAATAGAAATATAAATTTTTTATTTTAATTTAATATTATTCTTTTATTTTCTATCTACGTGACTTTACCGAAAGAACCAAGAATATACAACATGACGCCATTACACCACACCGTCACCTCTACAACTGCAAAACACACACCCCCAATACATCCTCACCACAAGATAGTCATTACCATCACCACATCGCCGCCACCACCAACACAACCAATGCCATACCACTCCGACACAATGCCATCATATTCTTGGTTCTTTCGGTAAAGTCACGTAGAAGGGAAATAATGAAATAATAAAAATAAAACAATAAAATTATCACGACGTTTCGATTGCAACACAAGTAATCGTCATCAGGTGTGAAAACCACAGCAAGAACCAATAATATAAATCCCTGCAGTCACGAAAGCTTTAAATCGAAACAATGCCATTACGTCAACACCCACCACCACACCACGATGACATGAAGCTCTTACAGCACAACACCGCAGCGCCACAATACTAACAGCATCATACCATTACACGGGCATTGGTGATGCTGCAGTCGGCATACTCTGAAGCTGCAGTACACAGGATCTCTGTGGTAAGTGGCGCTGTGTTGTGTCAGAGTGGGAGAAGCATCGCTTCATATGTGTTCGTCATCACTTTAGAATCACCGCGTTCTTGCTGTGTATGCGTACAGCTGTGGATTTGTCACGTTCGAGAAAATGGAGTCTGCCGACCAAGCCATAGCGGAGGTGAGAGCACAAAGTCACATATAGTGTGTGGTGGGTATGTGTGTATGTATGTAGAACTTCTTTTGCGCTGTATGTAGCCAACCGTGCTATTTGGAGGTGTGGGGGAATGACGACAGACTAAACACAAAGGCAGTTCTAAAGAAATTCGTTTTCAATCTAGATTTTGAAGTGCTTCCTAACATCGTAAGGAAGTGCGTTCCTGACCGCCGCAGAAGAGCATCTCAAAGTGCACGATACGGTGACCATCTTTGTTTGTTGGCTAGCCAAAAGTTGCTGCGATGATGGCCGGAGTTCGCGGATGGTTTGTGCTCCTTGACGAGATCAGCAAGGTATTGTGGTTCATTTGTGGCAAGCGCTTAGTGTGTTAATGAGACCCTGTAATGTATTCGTTCGGCAACCAGAAGTCAATGCAGCACGGCGAGCACTGGACTTAAAAAAGTGCCTGGTGCAGTGTGCTCACATCAGTACTGGTGAGACAAAGGCGGCCAGACGTGATGACTACCACACCCCCGCTCTGTGCGTTGTCACATGGTGGAGCAATTACGCAGTGGTTAGCACACTGCCCTATGAAGCTGGTGACCTAAGCTCGATTCCTGGCTACAGCTAATGCCATTACCTCCCACTTCATCAAACAGCACTGACCAGCATGGTGAAGTATGGTTAAACAACCCCCCATAAGCTACATGCCGTAGGGAGGCCCTCATCCAGCGGTAAATTGACAAAAGGGCTGTACATATCCACGATATTTTACATGAAATTGCAGATGTTATAGTTTATTTTCCATTCATATGTTTACATTTTTGTTCCAAATATAGCATATGAACATGCATTGGTTTCGTGCTGTATGTAGTAAGTGTGCAGTGCTGTCGTGGTGTATGTAGCATGTGAATGTGTAGTGGTGTCATTGTATGTAGCATGTGAACGTGTTAACAGTGTTGTGTTGTATGTAGCATGTGAACGTATGGCAGTGGCTTATTGTATGTAGCATATAAACGTGTAGCATTGCCATTTTTTACGTAGCATGTCAATGTCTAGCGGTGTTGTGTTGTATGTAGCATGTAAACGTGTAACAGTGTCATTATGGATGTAGCATGTAATCGTGTCGCAATGTCGCTATGCACAGATGAACGGGGCCGTGGTATCGGACGTGCGTCTCCGCGTGTCCCTTGCGCGCCGTCAGCCCAAGATCGAGGCCACAGCTGGGACGTCGCCCTGGAGCACTCTGGGTAATCTCAGCCACCACTTCCAATAGAGACGGGGGAAGGGGGTGGTGTTGGGTCTGTGATGACATAGCCTAAGTAAGCAGGGCGGGTGATGGTGAGCTGAGTGGTTGGGTAGTGAGTGGGTGATGTAGTGAGCTGGTTGCGTGGGTAGTGAGTTGTGCGGATAGTTAGTTGGGTGTATGGGTATAGAACTGATGGGTGTGTAGTGATCTGGGTGGGTAGTGAGTTGGGTGGCTCGTGAGTTTAAGGGCTAGATAATAACGAGTGGTTGAGTAGTGAGTGGGTGGGTAGTGAGCTGGGTGAATTGGTAATTCGGCAGTGGTTGTGTACTGTGTGGACAGTTTGTTTGGTAGTGAATGGGTGGTTGGTATGTGGTGTGGCTGAGTGATAGTTTTACTCAGATGAACAGTCCTTTGCTCAAATAGATATTGTAGAAATTATTCAAATATAATTCGAAACCTTTATTAATCAATAACCTTATACGTAATTATACACTTAAGTACCCTTCATGATATACCTTTAATATAAAAAACATCCGATTAATATAATCAACACCATCAACAAACCTTGCATAGATTGTCACCTTTAGAACCACGACAAATATCCCTGTAAATGTATGTTGGACATGCACATCCTTCACAGACAGTTCCCGAGTGTCATGTAATTGCATCACAGATAGACAAGGGACTGCACGATGTTTGACATCAGGACTGTGGGCCTGGCCTTGATCATGGATTCCCAACCAAGCTAAATCCAGGTTCTTGTGTAGCAAATTTGGTCACCTTATCCAATGCACTATGTATAAAAAACGTGTACATTGTACATAAATGTATATTTAAACTTGGTTGTGAATTTATGTCAGTCAAATCCTACTCTGAGAACCTATTAAGAAGAGACACACATAGAAAACCAAGATAAACCCTTCAAGGATATTGGGCAAATACCTGCAATGTAAATTCTGAGCTGTTCTCCAACTTGGCATGTGTGGCATTGCTGCTGTTAAATTAACACCAGAGTGGAAGAGGATTGACTATGTGCCTACATGCCAAAGTGGGATAACTCGGTGATTATTGTAGAAAAACATAGGAAAATATTTTGAAAGCTTTCAATCTCTCACAATACTTCCCATCAACTACATGCGTTTGTCTGCGTGAGCTTGCAAGAAGTGTAAATACATCGCCCATGTGTTTTGAATTTACATCCATTTTGTTAATCTATTGTTATACGAAGGCCTCCCCATGCCAGGTTCGTCATAGGGGGGGTTATACGAACATACTTCACCACGTTGGTCTGTGCAGGTCACTGGCTTCAGTGCATGGTGCTAACCACTGCACCACCACTCCACTCTAAAAAAAACGGTAATCGAGCATAGTTTGTGTTCACACATCCTTTTTGGTCATGCTCATGTGTGCATGTGTGTGTAGCGGTAGTGTAGCGGTTAGCGGGCTGTCCTATGAACCCACATGCCCGAGTTCAATTCCCGTTCACGGCCAACACCAGTGACGAATAGGTTGACTCGGCCTCAAATTAGTACCTGGTGCAGTGTGTAAATATTGCCAATAAGGAGACGAAGAGAGTTGGGCGTGGTGCTGGCCACCCACCCCCTCGTTTACTGTTCCGGCCTGCATAGGTGTTCGCTAACAGCACTTGCCCCAACAGTCTGTTAAGGCTATACGGGGGGATCTTTTGTCTTGTTTGTGCGTACATTTGTGTGTGTACAGCGCTGGGACACAGCGCCAAGGGGCTGCACCAAGATCGACGCAATCAAGTCGTCTACTCGGATGATCCCTTTTCGTGACAACACCCGACTGCCTTTCCAAGCCCCTCACGTCCCGTCTCATTCCTCTCTCCACTTTCCTCTCCTTGGTTTGCATTTCTAGCGAGTAGCCTTGTAGCACGTTGTCGATTTGGGGGCGATTATTTGATTAAAACCTTTTTTTTCCACAATTCGTTCCGTCTGGTTTGTGTTGCCCATCCCGCGTGCGGCCTTGTTCGTTCCATCGACATATCGGTAAAATTAACATTTCATAAAAAAATGTAAATAGTTGGTCCTTAAACACACAATGCGAAGCATGCATTGTGAGCATGAGAATCAATGTTAATTGACTCATCGTTGCAATCAAAATAAGTAGCAATGCTGCCATTATTATGGTCGCGCCCTTGAAAACGCTTGCAGTGAAAAGCCATGGATACATCGATCGCTGTTGAATCAGAGGCGCACAAAAGACACGGACTCCATTGCTTTTCGTTACCCAACGTGGAATTGTTCCTTAGTTCACACCACATTAAAGTCCTCAATCACCAAATCTCCGTGCAATTATAAACATTTAAGATGGCTGGGTAGTGCATTAGAGTTCAGAATGGATACATCAGAACATTGAGCCATCACCGTTGAGATGCTGGTTTTTGAATCTCGGGCTCCTGCCCAAGATGAATCCAGGTTGTGTAAGAACTTTTTTTTGTTAATCTCTCTATCGCCGTGGAACAAACTTTATTGTATCTGCTCAGTCACCCAGGAATGTGCCTGAACATTTAGTCTACCCCAGAGAAATGCATGGCTGAATTAACCCCAAACAGGATTTGATCTTGCAAGCCGTCCAACTGGTGGTGCTAATCGATTTTCCTGTAAAACAATCAGCTTTGCAGATGCAGGTGAACGCAGATAAAATCACGCGGTTGTAGTGTATGGAGCCCCAGAAATAAATATTTATGTGTACCTCAACAGCAATGGCACAGTTGAGATAATTGTTACAATTAAGAAACACACAAAGGTAATGCATCTTGGTGTGTTCATCGACTCTCGACACCACAGCACTGCTGGTGTATTCGTGTTTGTTACGCTGAAGTCAGAATAAAATGAAATTCAATGGTGCGGCCCTGAAAATTGCTTGTTCATGCCATTGCTGGCATAAAGGCCTCCAAAGGGAGCTCTAGAAACCATCTCTTGATGTTATTTTGACATTCAGAATATTTTATACTGGAGGAATCCAGTATAAAACTAAGTACCCAAACATCAGCTATCACACACGATCTGCCAATTGCGGTGTACCCATCTATCCGACTGGATGGACAGCGGTGTGGCGGTTTTAAGACATTTTCAACGGCCTGGAAAGATTGAAGCGACGGGCCTACTGGAATACAGTTCTGAAACATCATTAGACCTCCTTTGCCAAAATATAATAGGGTTTTTCCCATTTTTTTATGGCAACAAAACTGAAACCGTTTTACAAGGATTAATGCCTACATTCACCACAATACTTGCAGTGAAAATGCAAACAAAAAACACACTGATAATACATGCATTGTCCTTGAAACCGATTGGTCCACACCAAGGGACGGCTTTCTTTTGAGCCTCGACCCAATTGGTGCTCGAGCCGTCCCTTGGTGTGGACCAATCAGTTTCAAGGACAATGTATATATTATCAGTGTGTTTTTTGTTTGCATTTTGACTGCAAGTATTGTGGTTAATGCAGACATTAATCCTTGTAAAAAAGGTTTCAGTTTTGTTGCCAGAAAAAAGGAGAAAAACCCTATTATTAGTCCTGAAACAACTAAAGTGTTAAATGCGACCACGTGGTGTTTCGCTGGTGCTGTGGGGGGGGGGGGGGGGGATAGTCATCTGCCATGATGGGGTTGTTGTGGCAGAGGACCAATGGATGGAGGTAAGCTCATAAAAGTGCTTGACGAGAGTCGCATGGTAGATGCGCTCTCTTCCACTCCTGCATCAAATTTCTTCTGGAGCACAAGCATCGCCACGATATTCTCGGTACGGAAAAACAAACTCGCATCCACGGATGTCATCTGTGCAACGTGAACTATCCATCCGCCAGATCGATACTGAAAACCGTTATCACGCTTGCAAGTGCATCGTACGTGGCCTTGAGCTCACGAAACCCCAATTTATAAAATAAAGACGTGAGTCCTGCACTCGATACATAATCGTCCAAACCCCATCATTAATCATATTAAAAAAAGAAACCCAGCCGTGTAAGTAGTGCATGAAAGCTGAGCGTTTGAGTGTCAGATTAATAATAGCAACGTGTGTCTAGGGTTTTTGGCTGCTCTAGATTTCCACGTGATGAAAATCCACTTCGTTGAGTTATAATTTGCGGCTAAGTCTCTTCTGAAAAAGAGCCGTATAGGTCAGTGGGCCTTACCTGGTAAAATAAAAGTTTATTTTTACTCAGATGTCTCGATGATGATGCCTCTACGACGATGCCTCTACAACGATGTACATAACACATTCCTGCAGAGGGAGCTGATAGGAACGTTGGGTTGCTCGGTCAATGGCCAGGGTCAACGGCGGCGTGGTGTATTCCACAAATATGCCCGACTGTGAGGGCACGCACAAGCCGGCGTGAGTAGGTTAAACGTTGAGTTTTATAAGGGCACCACGGAGTGACCAGCCCCTCCCCACCCAGCACCTCCCCACCCAGCCCCTCCCCACCCAGCACCTCCCCACCCAGCCCCTCCCCACCCAGCCCCATCCTCCCCACCCAGCACGACGGACGGAATAATCCCCTGTGGGCTGGTGTAACCAGGAGGTTCCTACCAGTATAATACGTTTGAGTATGGAGCTGATGGGACTCAAAGACATGGGGTGCACAAGACCTAAGTGCATGAGGCAGATGGTCAAAAGTATGAAGCCAATGATGCTATTGGGATAACAGCATGAAGCAGATGGGGCCGAGTACTGGGCTGATGGGATTGAGAGCACAGCGATCAGAGGACGGAGGCCATGGGGCTGATGAGGTAGAAAGGGCCAAGAGAGCGTGCGGTGGCAGCGACAGACTGAAGAGGGGGAGGAAGGAGCAGAGCGGAGGTGAAGAAAAGCCGCGGGGTGAGTAGAGGCTGGGCCAACCAGCGGTGGATTTGGTGGTGATGGCAAGTCATATAAATGTATTTAAGAATATATATATTTGAATGTAAACAAAAACAACAATTTGTCCCCGTGGATTTAAAAAGTGAAAGTAGATTTTTAAATATATGATGTGCAAATAGCTTTGCCTGTTCCAAAGCATACTGCATGCCACATTGCTGTGAATTGACATTGTCTTGAAGATGTAATACAATAACTATTCTTTATTGGTTGAGTTCTTCATTTAAACTACCCGAAGATTCACCCTAACACTCACCAGTACAATGAAGTCTACAATACATAACCTAACTGCAATCCTTACACCATTCGAGTCGTGAGTGTGGAGGCTGAATGGCATCGAATCAAGACAACTACGAAGCTATCTCCCCCCTATTTATGATCTCAATTCACCAATGTAGTCACCAAAGCGTGTCCACTTAACTCGAGCGCTGCTCTTTCATTTATAAGACACCTCGGGGTTGCGTTAACATTGGTCTCTTGCACCCATCACACCGCCGTGGTTGATGCTCCATTGTCATTGACAATTTGCTGCTTCACCTCCGTAACTTCGGACCGTGGCCTTGCGCCCTCCACCAAACTGCTTGACGACGCGACCACGGCAACGTCAACAGACGAGTCCCCTGCGCCGGCCGTCGGCACAGCCGCCTTCACCGCCTCCCCGGTTGTCGCAGCCTCACCGGTTGTCGCAGCCTCACGTTCCGCCTTGGCTGCGACCAGTTCCGCGTCCGACGCCACCGTCCCCTCGCCCGTCGCCGACTCGGCTGCCACCGCCGCCATCCCCTTTGCCCCCTCCCCCCTGACCCCCTTCGCTGCGTCCGCTAACGCTGCCGTTGCGAGGGCCGGCGGGGGCGCGGAGCTGTCGAGGTGCAGGGCCTTCAAGAGTGTCTCGAGCCGCTCCGCCTTGCGCGCCTCGCTCTGCCGGATCACCACGCACAGGTGCTCGGCAAGCAGCTCGCGCCGCTCGTCCAGCCGGTGCAGCTCCAGCTTGGAGGCGACGAACTCCGCTTCCGCGCGTTCGTAGCGCTTGCTGACGCAGCACGCGTTGACACACCCAAGTTGCAGAGACAAGGACTGTTTAAGACATGATAGCAGTAGTAGGCTTTCGCGACAAATATGATCCACAATAAGGGTTATTTTGTGATAATAGGTTTTTTACCCTTTTATCTGGCAACAAAACTGACACCTTTTTACAAGGGATCATGTTTGCATTGACCACAATACCTGCGGTCAAAATGCAAACAACAAAAAACAGCACTCCGATAATGTATGCATTGTTCTTGAATTGGTTCACCCCAATCAATTTCAAGGACAATGCACACATTATCAGAGTGCTGTTTTTTGTTGGTTGCATTTTGCCCGCAGGTATTGTGGTTAATGCAAACATGATCCCTTGTAAAAAGGTGTCAGTTTTGTTGCCAGATAAAAGGGTAAAAAACCTATTATCATATTTTACTACTGGCAAAGGAGGTCTCATAATGGTTATTTTGTGGTTAGAACGCGTAAATATAAATGTGTCTTTAAACATGCCACCACCCGACACGGCCAATTAGTAAGAGATAATGACTGCCCTTCACAGCCCCTTGGCAGAGAGAGCAGATCAGCCGGATTTCCTCAGGCTGTGGAGACTTATCTTCCCGTTTGAGGCTTTGCAACCCTTCACACTCCTCAGAAGACAATATTCAAACTTGTACCTTGTGTGGTGGTAGTGTTTTTTTACTATGTACCACGTGTGTGTGTTACCGTACGTGGTGGTAGTGCAGTGTACGAGTACTGTGCATGATGGTCGTGCTGTATACCGTGTTACCGTGTGTGTTACCACGCATGGCGGAAGTTTATTTGAGTGTGCACGTTGCCGTGCATGGCGTTATTGCCATGTGGCACTACTGTGCATGGCGGTAATACTATATACTACGTACCACGTGTGCGTGTTACCATGCATGGTGGTTGTGTGTTGCTGTGTGCGAGTACCGTGCATGGCGGTAGGTCTACACATCGTGAGTGTTCACGTGAATGTTACCGCGCGTGGTGGTACGCCATGCAGGCCTCCTCGATCTTGCTGCGCAGCAGCGCAACATCCCCGCTCAGCGCTCCGTCCAGCTCGTTGAGCTCCTTGCGGACGCTGGAGATCCTCGCCGACTCGGCCTGCGTGCGCTTAGCGCTGATCCACATCCCGACAGCGCTCATCAATCCCGGCCTTCAGCACAGCTTCCGAACGCTTCCCAACTAACGTGGTGAGCGCGTTAATGTCTCCCGAGTCCGTCCGTCTGTCTGTAACACGGGGTCAGGGTAGCTGTCGTAAAGTTAAGCTAAAGAAATGTTTATGTAATTAAAATGTTGCGTTGCTCAAAAAAAGGGTCTAAGCCTGGAGAAAACTGGACAAACTAGAGGCTTGTGAAAAAACTTGGGTGATAAATAAACAGCGATAATGGGTAAGCATGCTCAGCCAATGTGATCATGTTACACACCATGCGCACGTATGCGTGGGTTCTGTAAAGTGTTGACCAGATAGATTATGCAAAGAGTATTATACGCTTTCTTGGTGGAATGTGGGTCAAGAAAATTAAGACGCAAATATCTGTTTAAGTGCCACACTGTTGATGAAGGTCATATTGATGGTATTGGGGTTTAAATATTACGGTGTCAATGTTTATGGTGTTGATGTAATGTACCTTGTCGATGGTAGTGATGTTGATGTCAATATTGATGGTAGTAATGCACCTCTCTGCTATAGTGTGAGCTAGTATGCTGACTGTGTTGATGGCGATTGTGTTTGACGGTGATGTTGACGACGATGTTGTTGACGTTGCGAGTGATGGTAATGATGGTGGCGTACCTCTCTGCGATGGCATAAGCCAGCATATTGCGCTTGCGCTTGTTCTCCTCCTCCATGTGCTGTTGTTCCTGTTGCATCATCTCCAACTTCGTGAGCTCCCTCCTGCGGCACAGCCCATCATGGCACACGGAGCAGTTCATGTAACAACACCAGCAGCCGATCTTACGTTCCAAATATTTGCATGTTGAGCTTCTTTCGCACCGTATGAAGCCGACCGTGCTAATCGGCGGTGTGAGAGGACGACAAACTGAACACAAAAAGCAGTTTTAAATCATGTGACTTGAGCAGTTTTAGAGAACCTACGGCCCATGGGCCGGATACAACCCGTGACTTAATTCCATTTGAACATAAAGTAATCATCAGTCAAACAATCACTTAATGCAAACATTTTACGTAGTAAGAAAAAATGCCACGTACTATGGAAAAAGCAGAGAAGTGACACCATGAAAGTAACGTAACTTTTGGTGATATCATACATTAGGAACAATCCAAAACACAAACAATTTTTACATCGTTTGAAATTACACATGGAGGCCCTTTTTATGTTTTTTTTTTAATATACAAAAATCGAGAACACATTTCTTATACAATGAAAATGATACGTGGCCAAAAAGTATTTATTGGGAGCCTCACCTCTCCACCTCATCCTTATCTAGCTCCTTAACCTCTACTTGTTTCCCCCCACATTGCGTCGTCTCCACACTCGCCCGGGGCTGGGCCTTGGTAGGAGGTTCACCAAGTTTCTCCGTCACCACCTCCTTTTCACGCGCCCTCGTCGCAACCACCGGTGTGGCATTGCTCGCAGCCTGGACAGGAATAATAGCGTTGCAGTTGGCCCAATCTCTCGATGCTTCTTTGCGCGATTTTCAGTTTTTCTTCCGTGTTATTGTAAATGACCATGCTTCTGAACCATGTCAGAGAAAGCATTACAGAGTGATATTGAAAAAAGTAAATATTTGCATGGGGGGGTGGGAAGAAGCGGCTTGGAAGTAATTGATGTAATAAATATACAAGATGAATGTTGAACTTCTTTCGCACCGTACGTAGCCCACCGTACTAATCGGAGGTGTGAGGGCGTCACCTCGTGCAGCGTCGAAGCCGGGCGTGCTCGCGTGGGTGCGAGCATGGCTCCCGCGAGCTCCGGATCAGGTGCTGGGCCGCGAGCCTCCCCTCCGAGCCTGGTCCCTTCTGGGCGAGCCGTCTGCCCGCCTCGCCGCACACTGCGCCCATCCTTCTGGAGGTGCCGCCGGCTGCGGTTGGTGTCGCGTCCGGCTGGAGACGAAAACAACAGCACGTGTCCGCCATGGCCACGAATGACCTCGAGATGCGGATAGGACAGGTCACTCACGAGAAGAGTTGGACTGCCACTACCCTAACTTGTATCTGCAGACGCGCAGAAATAAAGCGAGTCTCTGGCACGACTGTCCCTGCAGATTTTTTTACCCAAGCATAAGACCATATGATTGTCCAATCACAGAGTTTCTTTGAGTTATGCTTACCCATTCGCCATTCTTTCCAATTTCCACTTGTTTAGCTTTCAGTCGAAAAAACATGAATGGAATACCACTTCTTTAGTTTTTTATGTAGGGTTACGGGTCAGGGATCAGGGTTTAGGATTGTGGTGTTAGCATTCAGGAATTTTGGCTTGAGGTTAGGGCAGGGGTTGGCAACATGCGGCTCTTTCGGAGCTGCTTGGTGACGTGATTTTTTAAGGATCACCATCTCGTATTCACATGCATTGTGGCTCTTCAAACATTGGAGTTTGTTTTACCGAATTCGAAAAAAAATTCTGTACTTGTTATTTTGGTTGCCAACGCCTGGGTTAGGGGAATGGTTTAGGGTTATGGGGAAGGGCTTAGCACTTAGGGGTTAGCGTTTAGAGCTGTTTATAAAGAAAAATTAAGATATCCAGTATTCTATTGTTATTAGCGAGGGATACGTTCTGGAGAAGCATTTTTTGCGGATAATAAATACGTAAATAAGCTATTAATGAAAATCATCAGAACAAAAAGAAAATATACTTGGTTATAATGAATCTTGACTTAAAGCTTTCGTGACTGCAGGAATTCATATTCTTTGGGTCTTTCGGTAAAGTCATGTAGAACAACAAAAGCCGACATTTCGATCGCAACACAAGCAATCGTCATCGGGGGGGGAGGGTGTGATCTGTCACCCGTGTTTGAGAGACACACACAAAGACACACCAAGCGAGACACATACCAAAATATTGGTATATTGGTGTGTGTCTCGCTCGGTGAGACACACACAAAGACACACTGAGCGAGACACACATCAAGACATTGGTGTGTGTCTTGGTGTCTCGCTTGGTGTGTCTTTGTGTGTGTCTCTCTCTGCATGTGTGTCTGCCTGTTCTGTTCCCGTGTCTATGTTGTATCATTCATTCTTACCTGATAATGTTTGCTTGTGTTGCAACTGAAACGTCGTATTCTATTATTATTTGATTTTATTTTCTACGTGACTTTACCGAAAGAACCAAAGAGTAAAATAAAAACACATATAAAAGTATAAAAAAAATGTTAATTAATAAATTATGATGCTGAGCATAATCACTTTATCTCATCACTTTCTCGCATCGCATTCTCTCTCATTACTTTCTTTCTCTCTCGATGCAGACGTGCAAAGTTACAGATGTGATTCGCGGATAGCCAAAATCGTGGACAGCAAGTTCGCGAACAACGAGGAAATACTGCGAACAGTTATTGACAGCAGCGTATTTATTTCACAAAATAGAATTGTTTGTGTCTATGTTTATGTTGTGTAATGATGTGATGATGGCGCTTTGGATGGAAGATTTGTTCCAGAAAGGCGCCACGTGTAAAACAAAAATAAACTGACTTGCCTTGGGTTAGGGGAATGGTTTAGAGTTAAGAGGATAGAGCTTAGGGTCTTTATTGTTGTTAGGGATGGGGTTAGGGTTTAGGGTAAGAGGTAAAGAGTTGGGAGTTAGGGGCTAGAATTTAGGGGGGCGGTTTTGCTTGGGTTCATGGGTTCGAGACTACTAACTTCGTTCGCAGGAAGGACGCAATGCCTAAGACCGCTTCCACTGCCACGTGTCAGCAGAGACCGTCATCTCGGCCATGCGACAGCCCAATGTGTGGCTGGCTACCCGTCCCATGGTTGTTTGACACCGCCGCTGAGGTTCAATAATTAATCGTCATTATTCTGGGGTTGTGCTGTACAGCATTATTTGTATTCTCCTCCATATCTCGTCTTGTTAAGTCTATGACGGTTGCGTTGGCATACGTACACACGTTGTACCTTTATGTCAATCCACTGCTGGATGAGGACATCCCACGCCGTGCATGTAACTCGACTATACTTCCCCACGCTGGTTAGTGCAGTTTGGTGAACGCGGCGAGCGTAGAGGTGCCATGATACATTCACGAGCAATAGATTTCACTTGATTCTTCTGCACTGACCGAACACTACGTTAGCACAGACCAGGGGCAGCCTATGGGTCACCGATCCAAGCACTAATGCGGCTTAACCTTTACGAGAACGCACATCGGGGGAATTCCGGCTGATTTGGTCCGAGGTTTTCTATCATGTCCTCGTGTGATCTGTCACCCGTGTCTTGCCTGCATGGCCCTTGTTCTGTCCGCGTTCTCAGCGTGTGCTTTCGCACGCGTGTCCCACTGTACCTGTGTTAGGGCCGTCTCTATGTCTCTATTCAATGCGTCTGTATATTTACCTGCACGTACGTTTTGTATTATGTTTGTCATTCCCCTCCTCCCCCACCCCACAATTTCATTTATTCCCGAACGAAAAATCCGTTCGGAACCTCTTCCCCCCACCAACCCCCTTAACCCCATTGTAAGAAAACGACCCGTGGAAGTGGATATCACAGAACTTACTGTACGGTACTTCTAAGATCCCGTTCAAGTGACCTCTATTCCACACCAACGTCTCGGCGTACGACTGTCAACCAACGCTCAGGGGGTGTAAACCACGGACTTTGTCGCCTTGCCGACACGATTTGGCGACACGCACGGGGTGGGTTGGGGGCGGTGGTGGTCGGGTTCGGAACCTAGGCCGCGCATCCTCGGCCTCGCCTGGTTTCTCTGCCGGGATCCCGTTGCACAAGGCCGGCCGGGCGTGGCGGGGAGTGGGGGGGGGGGTGCCGAGGGTTCTCACCTGGAGTGTCGCTCTGCCCCTTCATTCGCCTCAGGTCCTCCTCTGAGAAGCCGCTCCACGCAGACGACATTGTGACACCACGGGCAGAGAGACAGAGAGAGACAGAGAGAGAGAGAGCAAGAGCGATGGTGGTTGTGGCGCTAAGGGCTCCCCTGGTGGGAGACGGAGGAGAGAGCCGAGGGAGAGGAGAGCTCACGGGGGGGGGGGGGGGAGACGTGGACAGCGACCCCGGCACTGATGAGGATCCGGGTATTGAGGGATCGAGACCCGGGTTAAGGGGGCCGTCCATAAATGACGTCACGCGCGATTTTGGACGATTTTTTTGACCCCCCCCCCCCCTCGTCATACTGCGTCACAAAAAGTCAGACCCCCCCCCTCAAATATGACGTCACAAAGCTCTGCCCCCCCCCCAAAAAAAAACATATTTCAATTTTTTTAATAAAACATGCTTCAAATCGCTTTAAACTATTGTCATTGTAGTGCGTATTTAATGTGGCGCTGCACTCTGATGTTCTAGGAGAAAACATTTATTAAAAAGTCTATTTAATTAAGTAGAACGTGTTGTCTATATTTATTTAAAGTTGCGAATTTTGATGTGACGTCACATTTCTCACCCCCCCCCCCTCGTCACACATCGTCACAAATGTCTGACCCCCTAGGTGCGTGACGTCATTTATGGACGACCCCTATTGCTTTAGCTAATAATGCACATCAGCGTTCTTCACTAATTTTCAGAGGTGGTCCCACGTCACTCGGGGGGTGCGGACCGCACGGGGTGACACCATCAGAGGGGTGACACTAAAATTACTGTCTATACAACTTTTGTGCAGTGTTTCAGCATACATTTATTATTTTTAGAAAAATACCACCGTAGTTAGTTATAACACATTTTTTTTCGTAAGCCCAGCTTACATGTATTGTATCAATATATCTACAAGGCTAAAACACTTTGCGAATTAACTTATTGAACCTTCGAATGCGCTCAGATCAGAGCCGTCATTGTTACCCGACTCCAGTGACGCTTCGAGTCACGTGGTCTCGTCTGCACGTGCTACCAGCTCGCGCTGCTGTTTTCGTTGCTACTCGTGTTTTTATCGTCGCTGATTTTGTCAAAGTTTCTGGTGTTTTAGCTACAATATTGTGGTAATTAGTAATTGTGAACCTATATCATAACTGTATTGAGAATTAATTAGTAATTAAAGGAAATATTGTAATTTAAAGGTGTAATTTTAATTGTGCCAGTTGTTTATGTCACTACTATTGCCATTACATTCGGTGATATACGGGAATTACGATTTACGAGTAACATTAGTACAAAACACATTACTAAGGATTCTGTATGGTCTGGTACGGGCGGAGGTCTATGAGGGGTATCGCTTGGGTATCTGTCAAGAGTTTCGAGAGTTTTGTATCAGCCTCGGCATCCCTGATTTGGATTCTTGTGTTTGGCTACTCAATGTCCTGTTACAGGTTTCAGAGGTTTCAGCAGGGGTCTTGCTCACATCACTGCTGGTGCAAAGATCTCCACTAGAGGGAGCTCTTTAGATTCCACTATAGGGGGTATTTCGCCTACTCTTCCACACTTGATAAGTGCCTTGGAAGAGGTGGAGTATCCACACTTTACCCCACCACACACGACCTGCCAATTGATTGTGGTGCACCCATTACCACTGCTGGAGGGACAGAGGTGGAGGGATTTAACTTGCTAACCCGCCCATGCTAGACATCTGTGAAAAAGAGCTTCAGGGCTCATTTGATGCCTCTAGTCTAAATCAATATTCTGATTCTGATTAACTTGCTCATTGTACCAACTGCCGCGCCGGGAGGTCCAAACGGCGACCTCTGAATTGCAAGTCCATTGCGCTAACGATTACATCACCTGCTGCAACATTCCACTGATCATGAACAAGAACCACGAACGGTGCTCCCCAAATCAACGCAGATAACAGGAACTCAAATGCACTTAGGTTGAAATGGTAGGATCATGAAACTGGTTTATCAGCAATTATTACAATGTGTTACTACAGATGAAGTCATAATAACAATGCACCTGGCCAGTAAGTAGTGGAGATGTTATGAAGCAGTTTTACTGGTAGGAACCTCCTGGTTACACCAGCCCAAAGGGGATTTTTGTGTCCGTCCGTCCGTCGTGCATCCAAAAATGGGAGGGGTGGGGCTGGGTGGAGAGGGGAGGGTGGGGAGGGGCTGGGTGGGGAGGGTGGGGAGGGGGTGGGTGGGGAGGGTGGGGCTGGGTGGGGAGTGGGAGGGGTGGGGCTGGGAGGGGTGGGGCTGGTCACCCCGTGGTGAGATAGGAAACTTGAGAACCGAGAAGATGGGGCAAGATGACCGGCAAATGGATGTCAGAACAGAAATCCCCCAACGCAAACAGGGCATGGTTCAAAACGAGCAGCAGGAAGAAAGAGCGAGGGGAAGGGGCAGAGAAGGAATGATAAGGCCAATAATGTTGGGGATGAGAAGGTGATGAGAGGAGAGGGAAGAGTATGGGGGGAGAGAGGAGCATGCAGACGTGAGCTCCCCTTCTTTAGTCGTTTCGCAAATACGTCGTCACTTTACGAACACCCTCTCACTCATCAGCTGTGACAACCACCTTCGTCGACAGCTCCGATTTGAGCACGGGATGGCCACGTGCGGCGCTAAAGAAGTTCAACATACCCGTGGTTATTTCGGTAAAGTCACGTAGAAGGGAAATAATAAAATAATAAAATGAAAACATAATGAGATAAAATTCTCACGACGTTTCTTCGCCTGAGGATGGCCGCTTGTGCTGTGGCCGAAACGTCGTGAGAATTTTATCTACTGATGTTTTATTTATATTATTTCCCTTCTACGTGACTTTACCGAAATAACCAAAATATGAATCCATGCAGTCACGAAAGCTTCAAATCGAAATTTAAGTTCAACATACTGGACACACGTAATCGCTGTTCCTGGAGGGGGGGGGGGGCACCAAAAATGATAAACTTGGACATCGCGGTGATGTTGTTGTATTGCTGGTTCTGTTAAGCTACATTCGTACCCCTCCCCCTTCTACTATCTTCCTACCGCACCTCCGATTAGCACGGTTGTCATACCTGCCAACCCCTCACCAGTGTCTCGCTTATTGTAGACCAATTCAGACCCCGTGGCCTTATAAATCTCAACTTTCATCCGACAAAAGTTCCATCACAAGGGGAGAAACACAAACGAATAGATATCTTGTTGTTCCTGTATTGAAACGGCTGTACGCCGTACGGACCTGAAAACTCAATTTCCCTGTACAAGAATACGGGTAGACCGTATGAGTTGGCTACGTACGGTGCGAAAGAAATTCAACATACATATAATCACAATTGTGGCAAAAGGCACTGTACTTTTAAAATGTCTCTTGATTGGAGACAACCACAGTCGGTGTGGTGGGGTAAAACGTGGGGATCCCCACGTCTTCCAAGACACGTGGCCATTGTCCAGCTTTGTCGAGTTCGTTCTAGCGGAGGCGCTTCTGCCAGCAGTGCTGTGAGCAAGACGAACTTGCGGCGCTGCGCCTTTATTTTGGACTATCGTGGTTTACAATCGATAGTCAACAACGCTGATGGCAATGCCCCAGTTTGGAGGAGGTGGGCGCACACTCTTACGAGTTGCACCAAGAAGGCAAGGCCGTAGCCATGGAGTCAACATTGGTAGGGACTAAATCTTCCAGGGGGTGTGGGGGTCCCCCCCACCAGAAAAAAATAATCAACATTTGAAAACTAATTTCCTGCCTAAAATGTAAAAAAAATCACTAACACATAGGATGGACTTTTAATTTATTTTTTACAATAATGTCTAATAGTGTATTGTATTACATTGCTCTGTTTTATCTTTTAACCTTTTCTTGTTTCATTGTATGTAATGGCAGAGATTCGGGATTAATAAAGTACAACCATAACCACAATCATATAAACAGAAATATATTTTATAGCAATACATTGGGGCGGGGGGGCATTTTGAGCATATTTGAATATTGGGTAGGATGTGTCCCCCTCAATATACATATAATTACGGCCTTGCAAGAAGGAACAAAGACGCGCGTTTGAGTGCTCAAATTGCCCCCCAGCGTCTCAGCAGCGCCTTAACATCCACGCCACATCTCATTCATTCCAATGCACAGATGCGTTTTAGCCTCTGGCCACCACCCCCACCCCTTCCATCCCTCCCCTCCACCGACGACAGCTGTCCGTGTGCGGCGCAAAGGTGACGCAACACCGACACGCAACGTCCGTCAGTAGGGGAGCGATGTCGCTTTTGGTGGTCCCAGTCAAGCGACGTACAATGTCCCTTTGTTGACCGAGCGTTGATCCCTTGTCCCCCGTCTCGTCTGAGCATCATCCGCTGCCACGTGCGGATGTTTTCGACAGCCGTGCGACGGGCATGGCCACAGGTTCACACCACGGGTCCACGCGTCGCTCCTTCAGTTTGGTTCTTTCGGTAAAGTCACGTAGGAAGAAAAGCAATTAAATAATCGAGTACGACGTTTCGATTGCAACACAAGCAACCGTCATCAGGTATAACTGAATTTGAGAGACAAACCACAGACACGGAGACACACAGACAGACACACACACAAGCAGAGAGAGACAACACAGAGACACACACAGAGAGACATACACAACATAGACACACACAGAGACACACAACATAGATACACACACAGACACACAAGCAGAGAGAGAGAGAGAGACAACACAGACACACAGAGACACACAACACAGACACACAGAGAGAGACACACAACACAGACACACAGAGAGAGAGACACACAACATAGACACACAGAGAGAGACACACAACATAGACACACACAGAGACACACAACATAGACACACACAGACACACAAGCATGGAGAGAGACAACACAGAGACACACAGAGAGAGAAAGACACACAACATAGACACAACACAGACACACAGACAGACACACAACATAGACACACAGAGAGAGACACACAACATAGACACACAGAGGGCGACACACAACACAGAGACACACAGACAGACACACACGCAGAGAGAGAGAACACAGAGCCACACAGAGAGAGAGACACTGTGGTGCCACAGCGACGGGGCCGCTCTGCCGAGCCAGGGAGCCGCCCGGCTTCCCCCACCGCACTGCCCCCAATCACCCGCCCCACATAAGCACACACCCGCACGCATCCCCCCCCCCCCCCCCCCCCCCATAGAGCTGGAAGGGAAGGTTACCTGATCGACCGGTTTTTATCCGAGAGACCCTTATCGGGATTAATTCTCACGGTTTCCGGCGATCAGGGAATTGGATGACCTCCCCCGTGCTACGTGGTACCGCGGCGCTGCTGCCGGCCTTAATATGGTGTGGTCGCGGCGTGGGGCATTCGGCCACCGCGGTTGAGGCGCATTTCCCCCCACACACACCCCCACGAGTCGACGGGGCAAGCAGGGGAGGCACGGGACAGCATGAATAGCGGGGTCACAGGGGCTGTTGCGCATAGTCATGGAGGGTTGGGATAATTGCGCTTGAGCGCGCAAGCCCCATTGGTAGGAAGGGTAAGGGAGTAATTAGGATTTACGCCTTGCACGCAGCACACTGATTAGCATATCAACAGCGCCTGGGGACTGCCGTGCGCGGGCTTGGGGTGCACGAGCCCATTGTTCAGCGCAGCATCCCCTTTGGGAGGTAGGGAGGATAAATAGAGGAGCGCAGAGGGGAAATCGCTCTCTTACTCCAGCGCCAGGCGACCAGACGCAGCTCGAGCCAGCGACCCGGACGTCCGTGCGACGCACCGAGGCACGCGGTTAACACAAGGATCAGCGGACCGCCGTGGACACTTAACAGTGAGTAAGAAGGGGAATTAGAATCATAGCCGATAAATAGGGAATAGGTACAGGTTTAGTGGAATAGGCCAGCCTCGTCGACTCACTGATTCAACATCAATTCGCAGGTGGCATATAATAAATCATTAATAGCGAAGCGTGGTCTCGCGTGATCTTGTCGTGCAGTGTGAGCGTGTGGGTGCGCTGTGTGCACAGTGGTTCGCCACGTGAGTGAGCGCTGCGCGGAGCTGAGCGCGCGGGTTGCGTGTGGGAACGCGTGTGGTACTGTGTGTGCGTAAGCTCGCGGCGTGCGTAATAGGCGTACCCCAGGTGCGCGATCATAACGCAAGCGGCCAGCAGACGGCGAGCGCTGCGCAGAGCGGCGCAAGAGTGGGTGTCGCGTGTGTTCACTCCGTGTGTGATACAGGTGCGCGATCATAACTTGCGTAGTTGGTGTGGAGTTGGAGTGCACGGAGCGGCGTGTGTGTGTGTGCATACGTTCGTTACATGTCGGACACGGATGCGCATTGGTAACGTGCCGCACAGGGCTATACTGCGAGCACGGCGTTTGATTGACGATGATGTGCGCACGTATGCTCGCAGCGTGGGAGCGCGGCGCGAGGCTGTAACCGTAGTGGCGTCGCATTCGAATGCCGGCAAAACCGTAGCGAGTAATAGGGAGGTGGGGTAACTTAAACGGAATAGGGGATGCAGGCGGGAGGGACCCCGGGGGCCAACGGCCCCCACAAATTGGTGTCAGAAGCGGTACGGACCCCCGCGTTACCTCACGCTAAAATAAGACTAATATTTACCGGCCGGGGGGCCCCTTCGTGGAAGGCATTCGCCCGCAATCTCTTAGGGGCCAAGGAAATTAATGGATGGACGGACGCGCAGGCAGTACGTCAACTTAATATGAATCTTGATGGGCGGGCAGCCGATTTTGTAGAAGCGTTACCCGCGAGCGCACAGACACAGCTAGAGGAGTTGATGCACCGACTCGATCAGCGCTTTGGCACGCGTGACGAGGAGGAAGCAAAATCGGCCTTAGAGGCGCGCCGGCGCCAACCTGGCGAAGATCTACGTGATTACGCCGAGGATGTGCGCGAGTTAATAAAGATCGCACGCCCGGGGTACGCAACTGATGTTATTGAGGAACTGGCCGCCGAGAAAATCCAGCGGTACCTGTCTCGCACGGCGTGGTGGCAGCCAGACATGAGCTGCCCACGTCTTCCCTTTAACACCCTTGTCGAGCGCGCACGTAAGTGTGAAAGAATTCACAGCGAACGCGCGCAGCTCCGGGGGCTGGGACGAGAGCGCGCCATTGCGAGCCTGCTCTCGGAAGACGAGGAGGAGGAACAGGAGCTCGCGAGGAAGGTAAGGGGCCGGGAAAGAGAGCCTCCAGTGTCCCGCGAGACAACCCCGGGATGGGTTGCCGGTATACAAACGGGTATAAAGGATGTCTCCGGCCAGGTAAACCAGGTACGCGAGGACGCAAATAAAAATATGAAGACCATCCAGTCTGAGATGGGTGAGCTACACTCCACAGTAGGGGGGCTGGCCGGGAAGGTATCCCAATTAGAGTCCGAGTTGGAACAACTGCGTACAGGGAGAGGGAGCGGGCAGGGGACCCACTACGGAGCCGCCACCCCTTCCCGGGCATGTTATATGTGCGATCGCCGAGGGCATCTAGTGAGGGACTGTCCTCAGGTCGCCCGAGCTAGACAAGAGCTAAGGTCAAACACTAAGGCCCCCCTAGAGAGGGGACCACCGGGGGGTGAAATCGACGTAGCCCCGACACAAACAAGCTGTGAGAATAATGGCGAGCGAGTGATCTCCACACAGGTTCCAGCAACAACGCCCACAGAAACGGTGACTCCTGGCGACTGGCTGCGGGAGCTGGTGGCGGGGATCACGGGGGCCACGTCGCTGGTGGAAGGGGAGGTAAACGGAGTGCGTACCCGAATCCTGCTGGACACGGGGGCGGTGGCCTCGCTCGTGAGCGCAGCGCACTGCAGCGCGATCGGGGTCGACGTGCGTCACCTGCAGGCACCGGACCGCGCGCTGCACACGGCGAGCGGAGCCGGAATGGGGCTGCTGGGAAGAGCCACCCTAGAGGTCCGCATAGGCAGCCAGGTGTGCACGCAGGAGTTCTACGTGTCGAGTGCATTGTGTCACGAGTGTATCGCAGGCACCGACCTCCTGGAACGGTTGGGACTCAACGTGCAACCCCGCCAGCGATGCGCCACCATGGAGAGCAACGGCGAGCGGATACCGTTCCTGGGACGAGAACCAACGCGCCGCCGCTTTGCACCTGTGGCCGCTATCCTGACGACGGCAGTCACCATCGGCCCGCTCACCGAGATGCTGGTGCCGGTGGCAACATCCCCCACCGACCCCGCGCTCCGACCATCAGGGGAGGTAATGCTAACTCCTCACCCGGAGTTGGCAAAACGGTATGGGGTTGTGGGATCCGCCACGTTGGTAAACGCAGATGGGGACCGATTGTTTATGCGGATGTTTAACCCCCACAATACCCCCGCGATACTGCGACGGCGCACCCCGATAGCCACAGTACACCCCCTGCACGCACGCCACTCTAACGACTCGGTGTTCGCACTCTGGGCTGAGGACCCCGGTCGTCCTGAAGGTGAGCAGGACCTGGCCTGGCGAGTCGGCCCGACTCCCCGAGCCGAGGTCGTTCCCCTGCTCGACGCGTTACATGTACCATGGGCGGACTTACCTAAGGGAGAGGCCGATCGGCTGCGCGAGTTACTGCGGGAGTATGCCGACGTGTTCAGCGAACACGACTCGGACGTGGGTCGGACCGACCTTGTTAAGCATCAAATTGACACCGGTGCAGCCCGACCCATCAAACTCCCTGCGTACCGAGTGGGCGCACCCGAACGCGCCCAAATCAAAGAGGCAGTTGGGGACATGCTTCGCGATAACATAATTCAGCCCTCGGCGAGCCCCTGGTCAGCCCCGGTGGTACTAGTAACGAAAAAGGATGGGTCAACCCGGTTCTGCGTCGATTACCGTAAACTAAACGCAGTCACGCTCGGCGATGCCTTCCCCATACCTCGCATCGACGACACCTTCGACAGTCTCGCAGGAGCGCGGTATTTTTCCACCCTCGATCTGGCATCCGGTTACTGGCAGGTGGAGATGACGGAGGAGGATCGGCCAAAAACAGCATTCACCACCCCGATGGGCCTGTTTGAGTTTCGAGTGTTGCCGTTCGGACTCACCAATGCGCCCGCGACGTTCCAGCGGCTGATGGAGTTGGTGATGCGGGGCTTGCAATGGGAACAGTGCCTGATTTACTTGGACGATGTGATAGTGTTCAGTAGATCTTTGTCTGAGCATTGGTCCAGGCTTCGAGAGGTGTTCCAGCGACTGCGAGCGGCTCATCTCAAGCTCAAGCCACGTAAGTGTTACATCGCACAACGCGAGGTGGGGTACCTCGGGCATCGCGTCAGCGAGGCAGGCGTGCACACCGATCCGGAGAAGGTGCGCGCCGTAGTGGAGTGGCCACGGCCAAGGAATCTGACGGAGATCAGATCATTTTTGGGGCTTGCCACCTATTATCGTCGATTTGTAAAGGGATTCAGCGAGATTGCACGCCCCCTCACCCAACTCAC